TTTTTTTTTTGTAAGTATTACAGTTTTTAGTACTGACACAACTTATTTGTCCTGACTCTTCTTCACCAAAAAAAAAAGGTTTTTTGGTTAGGAAAGGTTTTAAAAGACGATAAAACGATTGAATAGCAAACTGTTATCGTTATTTGTGAACAGTGGCTCTGCGTTTATACAATTTTTGGTGCAACTATACCTGTAATATTTTGATGATAAGAAAAGGGATGATTTGATAGTGCTGCTCTTAGGCATCGTCTAAGAATTGGATGATAGATGAATGAGAAGAACAGAAAAACGTCATCTTGTTGTTGGAAGTTTAAAAATATATTACAGCTGTTTTTATGAATAAGTTTGTAGTTGCTTTTTTTTTTTCCTTCTGTCAAGTTTGTGGTTTCTTGAAACAATGATGCAGAAAATAAGGAAAATTGACAAATAAATTTAGCTTATTGTGCATATTGATAAAAAACATTACTGTTGAAAAAATTTACTAATATAATTTTTCTTTGAAGTGTTTAGCTGTTTTAACCGGTTAGTTTCAGTGCTATTCGTACGTAATCGGATTTATGAAACATTCTCATCTCTAGGAAAGGCAAATGTAGAAAAAGAGTTCTTGTTCGGCAGCTATTTTTACCTATTATCTTTTCTTTTTTCTTTTTTATTGTTACTATTTTTAGATTAATAGTTTAAATGTGAAAGAAACTACTAAAAAGCAGTTAAAAAAAAAAAGGTGTTTGCTGACCAAAAAAAATAACCACAGCGTTCAGTTGCAGAGGGAAGTGGGAGGTTGTTTTCTACAAAACACCAAAACCAAACAGAACTATCCAGTCTAATAGTAGTTTTCCCTTAACTTTTACTACACATACGCACATACGGATTTATTTAATGCTCTTCTGAGAAGCACCGATTTTGCTGTAATACATCCACATTAGCATTGACTTAATTGCTCAGTTGATCTGAATCTCTTTATGTTTTTTTATTTGACGATAAGAAACGACAAAATAGCTATCTTTATTTTCTCTTTCTTTCTTTTTTTTCTGTTTTTCTTTCGTTATTAATTTGTTAAAAAGTAATTTTTGGTATTGAAACTGCCACTTTATTTTGTTAAACATAATGTCATCAAAGAGCTTCGACAAATATTGACTGCTCTGCGGAACGTTGTCCAGTATCGATGATGTTTATAGTTAGTCCACATTTGCAGTCATATTTGAATTGACTCATAGGGATTAAAGCTGCAAAAATAGAAAAAGAGGAACAGAAACATGGGCAAACATTAGATAAATTTTTTTTGCTTCCCTTCTCTTTTTTTTTCTTTTACTTTAACTCTTTTATTTGATGTCATTTCTGTAGATATAATAAAAGAAACTGCGGTCAAAACCTACAAAAGAAATTCTTTTTTGGCCATTTTAAAATACCAAACTTCTGCTCATTCACTGTATTTCAAACCTTTGAATCCCCAAAAAATATCTTGTTTAATCTTACTGCCAACATTATTTTACTGCAAAAATGGCAAGGAGAAAAAAAAAAAGGAAAGGAAAAATGACGCAAAAGCTTTTTTCTATAATCAACCAAATGATATGTCTGGGCAAGCGATTTTTTTTATATTTTTCATCTGTTCACCTCTGTATTTATCATCTTTCACTTTTTACCAATTTTTCATTTGCTGAGATTTTCCTCCACCTACCAAGTTTTTATTTGGTTTAAATTTTTGTGGAAAAAATTGAATTTTCTTCGCAACTTTTTTTTGCTTCTTTTTCTTTGCTTTTTTTTTAATTTCAAACAGTTTAATACTTTTCTAGATGGTATTCAAATGAGTGCTTTAGCATGTCTAATTTCAGCTTTTTGTTTTTTTCCTTGCTTTATAAATTTTTCTTCTTTCACTCCCACTTCCACCCCCTCCACTGCCACTGCCACTGCCACCTCCACTCATCATTTTATATGGCATTTAGAACATAAAAAAATGGAGAGCAGGTCAGAAGATAGTAAACAAACCTAAATCAAAGGGCTTATTTTGAATTATCTATCGTTGTTTGAGTAGGGCAGTGGAAAAAGGCAGACAGAATTTTTTAAATATGCAGTGCTAACTTTGACGTATTAACATGAATCATCCAAGATGTGTTGGTGAAGTTTTTTTTTTTTGTTATTAGATGATGGAAATTTGTTAAGCAGATACTAACTATAACCGATAAAACAGACAACGATCATACTTCTGGATATATTTATATGTGTTTTCAACTAGTTTAAGCCTTTTATCTGGTATCAGTGGCTTTGTTTTATGAATGTTTGTGGATAAATGTTATATT